GGGAGCCGGCTCCCTGCGTGTACCAGCTCCCGCCTGCTGCCACGCGCTGCTGTGTCTGATACAGAGGCAGCAGTGTGGGGCAGATGCTGGCTCCCCGGGAGCTGGACTTGGAGCCTCGTGTGACCGTTTGGGTAACCGATAAGCTCATGCTTAATGGCTACCCTCTTACGTCCCTGCCTCACATGGGCTATCCGACCTGGTCTGCGTGGCTGTAAAGTGGCGAGCTGTTGAAGACCGAGATTTAAAGTACTGTTCTCCCTGTCTCGTGCCTTCCAGAGCTTTGATCCCATTCTAGAAGCCATGGGGAAAGGTGAAACCGTGGATCTGGGCCGCCTGCCCCCTCATCCAGGTGAGAATTGACTCTCGGCGTTGCCGAACAGCTGCATCCGCTTTCTGGAGCGCGTCCCACCACTTCATTGGTGTCAGGAGGAACCGGCATGCGCGAGAAGTGCTAACACGGCACTCGCGATCTGTCTTTGCCAAGGCAGGCCTGCATAGCTATACTGGCCAGGAGCTGACTGGTCCGAGTCCTTACGGTGTCATTCGGGGAGGTGGCTTGGGTCAAAGATTCCCTGATGCCAGGAAAGCCGCCCTCGAGGGCGGTGCCAGGACAGCTGTATCAGCCAAGCTTTTCCAGGGTAGACTAGCCCTTGTTGGCATCCCGTGATCGGAGAGGGCCTGGAAGTTGACACTCATGGGTTCTAGTCCCAGTTGTGTCGCTTACGCACTGTGTGGCCTTTGGAAGGGGACTCTGCCGCCCTGTGTGTGTCAAATGGGGCTGGGCGGAAGGAGGTGCCAGCGAAAGAGGAAGTGTCCGGGTTGCGGTGCGCCATCTGGGCGGTGCTTGGCGGGGCCAGTAACCGATCTACTTTCTGTCCATCTGGGTTGATTGGGGTTTTTTATTATTATTATTTTTCACTTTCTGCGTGTCACTTACCAGCTTCTTTTCACAGATCAGCTGCCCAAGGAGCTGCCGTCCCCACGCCCGCAGCAACAATCCGCTGTGTCGCCAGTGACGCCTCTCGCAAAATCCCCAGCCTCCGTTGCAGGTCTGAGCCCCAGAGTGGCGCGTGGATATCGGGGCCACCCCCCGGCACGACAGGAGATGGCTCCTTGTGCCGTGCAGACAGAGCCGGGTGCTTTACTGCCTCTTTGGGAGCTGGGGCGTATCTCGCCGGCCTTGCTTGGGCTCCTAAGCACAGCAACTCCCCTCTGTAGTGAAAGGTGAAACCTGCCCAGACAGTAAATAGGAGGGGGGAGGAGGAGGCAAGCCGGAGCATGGCCTTACTGTGCAAACTCCATTCAGCCGCTACCCGCAGAGCCGCCGGGAAGCATTCCAGAGCCTTTTGGAGCTTGTGCTGCACGTTCGGATACGTGAAAACTCCTCCTGACACGGGGATGGGTGGGCGTGTGAGGGTTGGGGTGGGACCATTTTGATTCTTATTTATTGCATGCGCTCAGGGAAGAGGCAGTAGCGCCTAGTGGAGAGCGCACTGGGGTAGAACTCAGCAGACTTGGGTCCTATTTCTGGCTCTCCCGTTGAGTGCCCATGGGCAAGTCATGGGCTGCTTCGTGCCTCGGTTTCCCCATCTGTGAAAAGTGCGGTAATGATACTGATTTGGAGGCCTACTGCTGAAAGTGCCAGGGTAATAGCTGGATAGTCTAAGCAGTGGTTAGAAGCAGGTTGGGAATGAAATGCTGAGCTGCCTTCTGTCCACACCTGAGCAGCGGGGTTACAGCTTTTCGTTAAGGAGAGAGACGTTGGCACCCAATAAACCCGTGGCACCTTTCTTCCCTCCCCGGAAACAGACATCCCTGCCCCCCCTCGCGACATGCTGGAGGCTCTGCAGCAGAGGATGGAGAGGTATAAAACAGCCTCCGCTCAGGCCAAGAGCAAAGGAGACGACCGGAAGGCAAGAATGCACGAGCGCATTGTGAAGGTGAGGAAACCGTGCGAGTCCTGGAACCCCCGCCTAACCGTACGGCTCAGAGTGGGTCCTGGCTGCCTCACCCCCGGCAGAAACGCTTCTGAATTGGCGCTGGACGGCAGGATAGCATTCTCTAGGGGGCAGTGCTGCTGGGCATTCGATTGGTGGTTGTCTTCTGGTGCCGACCTCCGTGTCCAGGAGCTCCGTGCCTCTGAGTGAGATCCTTTCCGGCTCGGCGTCATTAGCATCTTTTGTGCTTCCCCCCAAAGCTGGGGGTGTGGTACATTTTGGATGACTGCCGGCTGCCTTCCTAAATCCCCCTGCAGTTTCATGTGGGTGCACTATACATCGCTCCAAGTGTTCCTGGGCGCTGTTAAAACAGCTGCTCCGTGGCACCCCAGAGACAGCTGCATTTCAGTGATGGGCGCAAGATCCGTGTGTTGGTCATCTTTGTTTTTAAAGTTCATCCATTTTACTCGGTATCTTCTTTTAGGCTGAGCATTAAATCCTTGTGCCGTTTCGGCTGGAGGCGAGGAGTCTAATTTGGGGGAAACATTTTAGCCAAAACCTCAGCTATCTTCTCAGAGAAAGGGGGTGCTTAAAAACCCCTGATCCTTAAGCCTCCACACAACACCACCATGATTGGAATCCAGTCCGCCGTTGGTGTGCATAACTCCAGTGGGTGGTGAAGTTAGCCGGATCACTTCTCCCATTCCATACGCAGGCCAGTAATGGAAGGAGAAACCCCTAACAGGTGCCATGGGGTAAGATTTGAACTCAGGGGAATGGTTCAAGCTAGGGGTGTGAATGATTCACCGGTTAACTGGTTAGAATCACGCTTAATGACTGAGGCTTGCTGGTTAAGGTTAACCCGTGGGGGCTGGAGCAGCTCCCTGGCTGCCCCGGGCAAGTGGCTCTCCAGCCTTGTGGGGCGCCCGCTGTGGCTAAGGGCTGCTCCAGCCAGACTGGTGCAGCACCTGTCTGTGGCTGGGGGGGCCGCTCTAGCACCCCGCTGCCTGCCCACCCCCTTTAATTGGTTAGCCAGTTAACCAATGAAACAGGATTTTACATCCCTCGCTCAAACTGATTGTCTCATTCTGATTGGTTGATGGAACCCCCCCCCCCCCGTTGGCAGCTT